AATGAGTCAAAAGGCCAGAAAGAGCTTCTAGTGAATGCACTCCAGGAACCAAGTTTGGGTGGGTAAACAATGGTACGAGCCCAATTTTCGCACCCTATGTGCGAAGTCATTAAGGCTGATGACATAAGGGTCACAACACCACCCACACCTCTCTGTTAATCAGGTAAAACGCAATTAATTGAGGAAACAAATCGTTCATAATAATAGTTGAAAAACCAAGACCCGACGCCCGCGAGGGGACACATCCCCTCAGTCGTATGCACAAGCCCCACAGGTCCTGAGGGGATATATTCCCTCGGGGTCGGACCTCGGGATTTCGGTAATGAATCCCCATACGGAGCAAATCCTGTGCTCGCATCCAGTCCAAAAGTAGTTCCACCCGCACCGGAAGCTCCGTGATCCCCCATGGGGGCACGCGCTAAAGACATATCGAAAGGATGTCGAAAATTTCTAAACGGATCTCAATAACAGCAACGCTAGAATCACAAAAGAGAATCCGACAATAATATAAGAACTTGTCCGCATAATTCTCAAAAGCAATAAGGAATTTGCAAAAGGGCTGGGCTATAAGAGGCTTTCAAATAAGTTCGTGCGCTTTTTCTCCTGCGAAAAATGTAACTTCTGCGCATCAGTACATACTAAAATTGATTTACAAGAAGCTCATTGTTTTCCACAATGCATCAATAACCTATACCATTTATCCGGAGGAATTTCAAAGGTGAAAAGAACCACAAATTAAGTATTGGCTTCTTCGGAAAGATTCCGCCGATTTCGATTCTCGAATTCGGAGGAACTACGAGGGAGCTCTCGAAAGAGAGATACGCATCTATACCGCGAAATGCGATGATGTGCTGATTATGAGCGAATGCACTGAAGGTTTTCTTCTACAGAAGCCGTTTTCTTTTTTCGAAGCGCGAATATCGCAAAATCAAAGTGCCCCGAAATAATAATCGCTCAGTAGAAATTATCCTAAATTGAGCGTCACAAAGAAGAAGAGGGCAATCTTAACTGGCAGGATTTGCTCCCTATGGGAATTTCATCACCGAAATCCCGAGTCAGCTCGACCGCGACGCTAACGCGTCGAAGTCGAACTGACCAAAGCCGTCGGGGATGAGTCCCCTAGTCGAGACTGCTATTTCTACGTGTCTAGAACACATGTTTGGATGGTGTTGTGACCCCTAGGCCGTCTCCCTTAATGAGGTCACTTCGCAGTTATCCGCGGAGTATTCTTAATTAGGTGTGAATCGTACCATTTTCTACTGACCCCTGGCATCACCGATTCCACCACTGCATCGCAGACCTTCAGCTGCGCAGTCCTTCAGCTATCACAAATGCTTCGGTTATCACAATTGTGGGTTCCAGTAGATAAAACTGTTGCACTTTGGAACTACTGCAACTTGCACCCACCTGTCACGAGTGAATGTAGAATGCTTACAGAGATTTGGCTTCATGATTGTTTCCCGTTCTATGTACTTCCCTGATGGTATGACACCAATCACTTGTTACCCCACTTACTTCCCTGTCCCTCGAGGGTTGAAAACCACAGCGATCGTCAACACCTCAAAAGGGACCTCCAATTATTCGTCGCGTCGAAGACTGCATAGTTGTGAGAAAAAGAGGAAACCATTCTCTCGCGGATAGATGGAACACTTCTTGGACAGTTGGGTGAATATGACACTTAAAAGAGGGTTGGTAAGGAAAATGGAACTTGGAAACCAATGTCAAATCGGCACTTATTTGTGACTCGACCTAATATTATATAATCACTTTTTACCAATGTGAGAAGTAATCCCTTTTGCATATCAGTTTACTGAACATGTATCCAAGTGTGGGCCATGATTCGAGTTACAAGTTTAGTTCTAGAAGCTTATTCATCCGCTCAAAACCACAATATGTAAAATAGAACATATTTCATATTTCAGAAAGTGCACTGCATGTTCGCAAACGTGGCCGGCTATGAAGAGGATTTGGACTGGGGAGAAAAGAAGTATATTGATTTTCTGTTGCTCAGACTTCAGATGATGAAAGCCCTAACAGAAGTGAGCTTAAGATCCTTTAATTCATGTGCAGTGTCAATGTTTGCCTAGACACCTGTTGTGAGAAGTCTTCACCACCGAAAGGTGATGGCTCGGTATGAGTTTTGATCGCTTTGTGCACTCCTTGCACGAAAACCAGGCTTATTTTATCAAGATCAGAATGGGGCGGATGTAGTTTAGTGGCAAGTAGCGTTCTTACCCACCCGCACGGTCTGGAGTGCAAACCTCAGTTCGAAAATCGCCCAGGTTACCATTCTTCCTACAGCTTTGAAGGCAAGATTCGGGATAAAATAGGTGTGGAAAAGCGTTCAGTTATGAAGCTAGAGGTGGGAGGTGGTCTGGAAAAGAGAAGGAAAGCAAACGAAACCACCGATTACGCCCCGTACAGAGACCTCCCCTATTTCAGCCGCATTCCACCTTGGGATAGAGAAGGGCGCGTTGGACGAGTTTCACGAACCTAACTCTAGTTGCTCCAGTGCCAATGACATTGGGTCGCAATGGGACCGCTGCCTCAAATGCGCCCGCGCTTTTCAAGCAGCGCCACGTGGCAACCGACAGCGGAGGGTGGGGCTTGCGGACGAAGGTGTGAGTTGCGGGTCGGACGAGCTCCTTGCGCCTTTGTCGCGCACTTTCAAGGCGGCGCGTCATTGTCCGCCTGTCTACTACACCTGGAACAGGCGGGCGTGCCTGATCCCGAAGCCTGCCTTTAATTGGTGTCGTACTGTGGGTCTGAAAACACTGAAGACATTGGCTGGCCCCAGCAAGTCATTGAGCAGGTCATTCCGCACTAAAATGTAACTACCCTTATGAATTCAAGTGAAACTCGTGGCACATCCAAAGGAGTGAGTGACCAACGCTGAGGATTTCATTCTTCGGCTTTATTCTGTAAGAATGTCCACAACATTATTTGCATTTACACATGTACAATACTACGATCAAAAATCGAGTATACTTTGACATTTGGCTTTGACTTGACTGTTGAGTTTACTCCTCTCTTTTACAGAGAGGGTAGCATGTCGGTGGTTGTTGTAAATTCAGTCTCGACGGAAAACGCACGAACTTGCCGAGTGCCAGAGCAGCGTACTAGTCTGAAAGTGAAGTTCATAGTAGACGGTAGAAGTCGTCAGGCCCGCGCGCTGTGGGGCGTCTCAAAGCCGACGAGATAAGCCCAAGAAAGCCGCATCCTCTCGGCATGGCTCAGAGTCCGACATTCTGGTGTAATATCACGACGCCAGGGTTCATGACAACGCCGTCGAGAAGCAAAAATTGTCGTTGAGGTGATGAAGAGGGCGCTTCATAAGCGACAGGACGGTCGATACCATGGGACAGCACGGGCGCGCACTTGGCGCTCTTACGGGCACACTAAAGTGTTTGGCTTTGTGACACAGTTATTTTCTTTCGCGTTAACCTGACACAAGTTCAGCAGAATCAGATTTTCAAACAGATTTTGAGAAGTGCCACTTCATTTTATTGCCAGATTTTTTTACATTAAAAGAGGATTTCATGATAAGATCGAAGGTCGATGAGGAGGGATTATTATCGTTGGAAGGCAGGCGGGCTTCTATAGTGCGGCACGAAGTGCGTTCTGCAGCCACGGTGTGCCCTCCGGGGACTAACACGGCCCCACCCGTGCCGCTGCGCCCGCCCACTGTCTAACTATCCCTCTGCGTAGGTCAGTGACCGCAAATTCCACTACTCTACCAGAGACGCAGGGTGGAACGCTCGCTCTGATGACGTCCATCGATGAGACTCACTCCAATGTGAAAATCAACGAGCCAAAAAAGAGCCCCTTTCTCAGATTCCGGGCCATTTTTTCCCTTTATACGGGTTTCACTGGTCACTTCTGCCCTTGTTTTCTAGTGAACTAACTTTCCATCGTAAACTCCGCCTTCAAACTAGGCTGCAATCCATGTGCTAAAAAAGCTCTGCTTTACTTCTATCTCGCGAACATATAGTACAGCTATTATGTGCTATGCAATTTCTCTAGCAATTCCATTTCTAGATGTGGTACGATCTTCTTTTAGTTGATGGTCCTGCAAATTTTCAAATCTTTGTTTGTTCAGAGTTCGGTACGTTTCGTGTTGATTGAGACTGACTCGACATGGTTTCGAGATCCGATAGGACTGTTCCTCAATGCGACTCTCATTGATGACGCCGACATTGTGACTTCAATCAAAGGAGTTACTCATGCTGTAAGTTATTACATACCAGATTGGTCCCCCGGCAACCACCGGGACCTCCTTACCTGCGTAAGCTTTACTCCTTCCAATGTGCTCCCATCCACTGGTGACATGGACACCTCGTGGAGGTGGCACGCATGCACAAAAAGTGTCTTATATAGTAGAAGGCATTACCGTAATCGTGACATGACCTTAGAATGATATTAATTGGACCTCAGGTCTTTTGGCGGTTAGCTCCCCTCGCCCTTCTCCATCTTATCCTATTCCCTCTACTGCTCTCCAGCTGCTATTGCAGCATCATGTGGAATGAATGAGACCATGCTCAGTAGGTGTTTATATAGCCGTTGGGGTGTTATCACATTGATAGCACTGCAAAACATTGATTGCTAAAGTCATAGTTACTCGATTTTGTTAACGGTCTGTTTACTTCACGAGTTTCCCTACCACTTCATTTTGCGGACGGACACACAGACATACATACATACATACACACACACATACAGACATACAAACCGACACACAAAGTTAGCGCTTTATAAAATAGAAGGATTCCTAACTTAACAGCAGTGATTCGAATCCAGCTGCATGACGGTGAGGAGTTCCGCAGTCAAATGATGACGCCAACGGCCGGATTAAGATGGTATCGCGGAAGCTATTACTGCTACCCCTCCTTGAGCTCTAGACCGCATTAGCAAAAGCGATCGGATAGCGTTGGCATGGGCGCCAGCACCGAAAAAACTTAAAAAAAAAAAAAAAAAAAAAAAAAAAAAAAAAAAAAAAAAAAAAAAAAAAAAAAAAAAAAAAAAAAAAAAAAAAAAAAAAAAAAAAAAAAAAAAAAAAAAAAAAAAAAAAGGGAATGTCAGACTTTCAGCGAACAGAGCGATTCGCTAGCAGCGATTCGCAAAGTCTGCCATCGGTCTAACGCGCTAATCAACGGGCAAAAGGTCTCGTTTCTCGGGTTCTGGGCCCTTCTTCTTCGTTTGTCTTGATCCCTTGCATCATAGGCCACCTCGACCCTGACTTTGGAAGGCTGTCTTAACATGTGAACTACGCCGTTGAGTCACATGGAAAGACAGAGGGCCACTGTGCGTGACCTTTCCTTAGCCGTGTGGGAGAGAACATGAAATCTGCCTGATGTGGAAACGCACGTTATTCGTGGAATTTTTTTACGTCTCGAAGCAGAAGTTAAAAATCAGACATTCCATATTATTGAACTGGTAACTTTTTACCATAGCTTTGAGAGGGAGGGGGTTTCTTTTTACCCCGACGTGTTGGAGCCAGCTAACGAGCTCCTCTCACTATTTAGTAATCATCAGACGCCTGCGAGACGGTCTCATACACTACATTCTTTTCACTGAGCAATATTTCCCTGTGTAGAACTACTGATTATGGTGTAATGGTCTCCAAATAGTAAAGAGATTCACCTCTGGTGAATCGTCTTATTATTTGGAGTCCATTACACCACAATCCTCTTGCCGGCCTTTTCTACTAAGGGCTGATCCGCGGGCACACGATCTAAGATCTGGTTTTTACAAATAACGCGAATATAATTTTGTGATCATTTATTTCAGGGTGATTCTCTGGCATTCAGTCCAATGCTGGTGGAACCGACGAAGACTTCAGTTGTTTTATTCAACGAAATCAATAAGCGACTGTCGGACAACACTTCATCTTATGACCAGGTGATTTTTGTGAAAAGTTTCGAACAATCCTACACCATTGCCTATCAGAACACAGTGTTACCTGAAAAACCACAAAGAGCGGCGGACCAAGTTTCAGCTGTGGCTTGGGCCAAGACATGCGAGGCACAAATCAGCATAGCCTGCCAGGTGACGGGATGCAGCAAAATGAGCCATGCTAAATGCAAAACTTCTGCTTTAGTAAAAGAGGGTTTATAGAACGGAAAATGGATGAAAGTGCGCATCGGGTTGTAAGAGACTGCCTGGGACTGGAGAATCTACCGGAAATGGGTGGTGTCCCCAAAATCCATAACTTAGCTGTTTTGAGTGTTAGACAGCCTACGAAGGAGAGAGAAAATATGGAAAACCACACAACCTACCCAACCCCCCGTCAAGTTAAATAGAATGTTCCATTGTACGTCCTACATCGCACATCACGCGCTGCGACTCGTCCGCGACTCTGCCTTCTTGCCGCGCGACGGAGCCTCCTGGAGGGTACCTCAGGAACGCCCATCTCCCGGTTCATGATCGCTCTCGCGTCACTCGCAGATCCCGTGTGTAATTACTTCCATACACTATCGATCTTTATCAGAGAGCGGAGCTTAGACGAACCGATCACGTATTATCCACGTTTTTATCCGGACCTCCTGAGGGTGCGAACTGACGCGCAATTCGCATGGAAAAATTTGACCTCGGCGACCTATCATGCCTCAAAGCTGGCGGGTCCGGCGATCTCCGCCCACCGATCATCTGATCACTCGCCGTAGTTCAATACGTGGCGAGTGATTAGATAGCTGAGAGAGCGTAGTGTTGAAGAGGGCACAGCGATGAGAGTCGCATCAATGCTCGAATCAACGGGCAAGGAAGGGGTACCATTTCTCGGGTTCTGGGCCGTTTCTCATGGTTCTTCCTTCTTTCGTGTACCACTCACCATCCCTAGGTTAATTTGAAATGGGTTGCTTTTTCATCGTGAATTCGTCCTTTAAGACGTAGCGGATAAGATAGCTCGTGGGCAAACAGATATGTTAGCCTCATTGCGGTTGTGTCTGTATACTAATCCAGATGGAGCATTCCCTCGCCATAATTTCAATCGCAGTTACCCCACCAGCTCGACCAGGGATTGCTGCTCCAACGCCCAGGATAAGGGGTCCCTCAACTAGGCCAGTTTCCCTTTCTTCGACCTTCATTGTAATCGTGAATTCCTCCTTTAATACACGTTGTGTGATAAGGGTTAGCGCAAGGTATCTGGACCATTGGCTCACATTTGCTCTCATAGCTCAGTTGTAGGGCTCTAGCAGCATTGTTGCGCACTTTTGAGGTACGACAATGGCGCATCCGTAATCCTCGTAGCGTCTGTCTTTGTCTACCAACATAATAGATTGTTCCACACAACCTCATTTATTGTTGTTGCTTAAAAAGCGCTCTCGTCCTTACCCTTATATTTGGTGGTTGACAGGCACAATCTACTATCCGCCTATTCTATTTTCACCGAGTGAAAGTAATGTCTACGATATATTAGGATGGTAAGAAAGTCCTGAGCCGTTTGACACTTTTTTGTGCTTTACTTTTTTATTCCGCGTACAATGGAATCTACTCAACAATATAATCACCATTGTTACTCACTACAGAGTCCACCTAATGGGCAGGTCAGCGACCCCCTTCTCCCAGAACTGAGCAGACTGAGAGTCAAAGAAATCGCTGACCGCTCTTTCAACGTCTTCAACTTTGGTGAATTTTTTCTTCGCTAGGAATGCCTTGAGGGGATGAAATAAGTGATAATCAGAGAGGGCAATGTCAGGGGAATAGGGTGGGTGGGGAACCGCGTCCCAGATCAGCTCTTCCAATTTTGCACGGGTCTCTTTAGCTATGTGGGGCCTGGCGTCATCGTGGAGTAGGTGGACAGAAGTTCGTCTCGGTCGTTTTTCTTGAACAGCGTCCGCTAGTTTCTGGAGCTGACTGGCGTAAATGCTGCCGGTAGCGGTATGTCTTGCGGGAGCATCTCATAATACAACATTCCTCACGAATCCCAGAGGTAGCAAAGAAGACAGTTTTTGGGGTGAAGGTCCGATTTTGCTCGTGTCGGCGGTTCTTCCGGTGCGGACAGAGAAGGAGAAACTGACAAATGGGTACCCGCCTGAACCGCGTGCTATCGGTCAAGACATGAGGGATCCATCGAGTCAGCACTTTCCTGTGGCGAGGGCGTGGAGGGGACCGAGGACTGTGGGATGGGTGCACCCGAGTCTTATCACAAGGCTGCGGGTGCTAACCTCCGGATCCTCTTCGACAGCGCCGAGAACGGTGGAGTCTTCCACTGTTTGGGGGCTTCCCAACCTTGTCTTGTCTTCGGAAAGCCGTGTCTCCTCCTTCGAAGCCTGCGAACCAGAGCTTGGCACTGATGATGGAAGTGGTGTCCCTTCCCAATGCGATGCTGATAATGTTGACGGTTTCCACTGCTCCTGTGCCGCAGCGCCATTCATTGAAGATGATCGCTCGAAAGTGCTCTTGTGGAATCGACATCATGATTAAAGTTAAAGAAGGCAACCCGGCAATATATACCTACTGCGGAGAAGTATGATCGACAGCGATAATCTATCACGTAGCAGATTCTAGGTATCGATCAATAAGCGAAAGTTCTGGAGCTTTCGAAAAATCGGCTCAGGACTTTCTTACCATCCCAAGTAGAAAGCACACTGGAAGTGGGCGGAGGCAAAATCATTGAAAATCTTTTGGAAAGAACCCCCTCTCCTACTCCACTAGCAAGTCAATCCCAAGAAGTGAAACCTACCATTCACACTTTTCTCTAACACGGCTAACGTTACTCATCTCTTGAATGTGACTCTCCCTTCCCAAATCGCAAGTTCGACCCCCCCCCCTTTCGAAAACTGCGACGAACGGTTGGCCCTGAATCGGCGAACGAGGTGGTTGGGACTAGATTGAGGACTTCGGGTAACCCGTTACACATCGCCAATGAGCCCTGTTCTGGGTGTGACAGCATTTTATTCCAAACTAATTACAGTTAGCGGGATATGGTCAAACTTGTGAAGACTTTCTTTTAGTTTTCTGATGCTCGTAAATTATTCGAATTATTTACCGTGATGTTTTACCGCGATTTATGTTCGTGACGCGGGTGTTACCGAATGCTGATGGGTATCCATGATTCGGCCTAGCTGAAACTTTCGATTTCGATGTTCACCTATAATTTAAATTAGCCGCCTGGGAAGTACTACATGTCCGCCATACTTTTGCTTGGTAGTACTTGCTTTATATGGTCCTTTACCACCTTTTGAACACACTGTATTTGGATCGAGTTGTTTATTGTCTATTGTATTATCGGTAACTAATGTGCAATAATACATCACACCTTCTAATTAGCACAAATGCCCGATAACAGGTGAAAGAAACAAACAAAAAATCAAAGAAGCACCCATATATATAGGGTGGTAAAAAAGTCCTGACCGATTTTGTTGAAATAGCTCCGAACTCGCTTTTAACTGCGAGAAGAGCAGGAGCTTTGCCAGAGACAGTGGAAACATGTGTGAAGAGCAGTGCCGCCAACACTGCAAGTTGCGCCCGACCATCAAGCGCCGCTATACGAAGTTATTACGGCCACGTTGCGCAGTTTCGCCCGATTAGACACGTTCTCTCGCGCTAACATTCACACTCGCATGCTCGAGCCGTCTGCGTCTCCGCCCATACAGCGTGCGTTGAGGATCTCTCAACGTGCCGTTGCGAACTGCGCAACGCAGGGTTGACTCTGGTTTCTTCTTCTCGAAAGCCACCCCAATTTTACACAAAGAGTGACTTCTTGAGCGATAAGTTGGAAACGGTTTGATCCATTGTGTTATTTCAATTTTTTTGCTGTTTTAGGATGTACTGAACGAGTTATGCTCCATACAGTATCACGGCGTAGTGTGCCGAAATTTCGAGTACACCGAGATTGCCGATGGAAAATGGTGAGCGCAGAAATAGCAGAAATAGCCAAAACATTGGAAATTCATAGCACCGAATCATCTGTGATTCAAATATTCAAAGGTTCTACCTCAAAGACGAAGACAAAAGCCTCATGCAGCCGTACATAGTTAACAACAATTTCTATGTGGGTCTGAAGAACAAAGAGGCTCGCCAGGTAAATCGAAAACATTCCCATATCGTCGTGATTCTTTGAAATGTCCTACGTTTAGGCAATAAATGGTCTATGGTTTCTCACGAGAAGCGGACACTGCTCAATCGAGAAAGTTGAGCGAGCTCGCAAGCGACTTCTAGGGTAAAAACAGTCGCGGAATAGCAACAATTCCGATTTGCCTCATATGATTCCTGTGATAGCTATATTCGAAATTTCTGTCAGAGCGGGTTTTTCTACAAGCGGCCGGGTTATTTATTTTGTTCTCATTCGTCATTGTGGCAAATGTGCTTGAATACTTGGAGATATTTTTCATTATTTTGTTATGTTTAACTTCTATAAATGCCATTATAGTCTACAAAGTATTCGCGAAAGAAGGATTATCTTCTTTGACTGGGCAAAATTGCATTGGTGAAACTTTGCTGTTTATGGCTTTTGTGTGGCACATTATCAAGCACTTTATCCACACATCTGGTGGCATGCATCGAACAAGGTGTTTATTCAGCGTGTCAAATGTTCAAATGGGTTCTGCGATTCGCGCGAATCGCACGACGGATCGCGGACTCTGACACCAGCCTAATAAAAACCGTTTGCTCACTCAGTGTGAAAACACTGGGCTAAAGAACTTTTGAGCAGCCAGCTTGCACTCAATTCCGGAACCTTTCTTTTGCGTCTTAAAATTAGATCAATTTATTACCGGCAGGTTATCCTGGCAAAAGTATTCTTACGCCTACACCCTCACCGGGCTTCCTGAAGACAAAACTGCCACTTTCCATGCCCAACACGATGTTAAAGGCACTAGAGTAACACCCCCAGCAGAAGCGGTAACGAAGAATCTATTCATTGCGTGGGATAGTCCACGACTATAACGGATGTACGGTTGTCGCAGCTCAAAAGTGCGCGACAAGCAGGTCTAGTCTACGGGTCTTACAAAGGCAGTATTTGAAGGCTAATCTCACATTTGGACGAGATACATAGCGCACACTCCATGACACGCAAAGTGGATTACTGCGGCTAATTCAAATACGCGCGGGTTAGTTGAGCCGTGGAGCAGGCAAGTTCGTACAACTCGTCCGGCCCCGCCCCTTCCTTTTCAAGGGGAATTTTCGTTTTGGCTTCATCGACGGTTTTCTTTGCTTTTTTTCATTTTAGTCAATTCGGCATCCACAACTTCATTATCAGCCGCTGTAACCGTACAAATTCGATTAGGGGGTATTGCTTTAAGCGTGTCCATCATCCTCAGGACTGTAGCATTCTGACTTCAGGAAAAATGAACACGTTTGTAATTGGCGGGCGTGCTCAGAATGTAACGAATGTTATTTCGACAGAAATGCTCTATTTGCCCGGGATACTTACGAGTGAAGTGGGGCTTCAATAAGCGCAAAAACTTTCTGGACGACCATATACTGTAGCGGTTTTCTGTGGAAATGAGGTTTATCATTAGTTCAACTTCCCGAAAAAGGCAGGTGTCTCAATCAAAATTTGAGCAGCTCTTTTGGAGACACTACTAATACTATCCACTAGCTAGATATGGCACTCGGTATTGGTACAGTATGGCTAAAGAAAGCGATTTCGATAACGAGAGAGTGTTTGGGGAAGTACTATAAAAGACCCTTTTTGGTTGCCAAGGAAGCGAGATGTTAGGGGCCTCCATACTTAAGGTGCTCTGATGTGGAGCGAGAGTCGAAGCATTTCTCCCAAGCGGGTTCCCCCACCCAACCATGTATCCTGCGGTGGATTCGACGGGTGATGTGAGCAGCAGAGGCACACTGAATCGTTGAGCAGAGTATGTGTGGTGACTACGCGTAGCGGCAATACTCATAGAGCCTTTTGCGCTGCCGTCTGTGGTTTTGCGTTTTTTTTTGTCGGACTTCTCTGCTCTTTTCGCCTCTGGCGCATCATTGAGCGCCCCTACTCCTCTGCAAACCCCTGCAGAACTTATCGTAATCGCTGCCTTTAAGCCGATGATTTTCTAATGAGACGGCGATAAGAGGACAGTGGTGAAAGTGAAGTTACGGGTTCACCCCATTTCGCGTCTCTGACGGACACTCCGGATAAGAGCGCTGATAACGTCAACGATGAGCCTTGGTAACGCTCTTCAAAGTCAAGCCACAAGCTAAGCTCTGAAATCTTTCCCTGTGACACAGATCAAGTAAACATGCTAGAGATGCTTCGGAAACTTTGGTGCTTGCTGGCGGAATTAAGAGGCTCCCATAATGATGTGATAATGGTGCAATATCCGGGATTTGTACTACGTAGCCATAGCTAATGAGAAGCCTTTTTAAAGGCGGAGCTTGCAATGGAAAGGTTGTCCACTAGAACTTTGGTAGAGGTGGCCACTGACAAAAACAACCCAGACCCGAAAATGGGACCCCTTTCAATTGGTTACACGTTATTCGAGTCAGCGCAATCTCCTACCCTACTACTACTCTCCTACTCTACTACCTATTCGCCGGTCAATATATATTGATTTTTTTCGTTGTCGCGCAGTATCCTATCCGTAGTCGCGAATTATGAACGCGGCCGAAGGAATTCAGAAAGGAACGACGTGAAAACGCTCGAGCCTGAGGAGAGGCCGTGGATCTGTGTCAGTGAAAAAACCATCTAATCCTTTATCACGTTTTCGTCTATGTTCAAAAATCTTAATTAAAATAAGTTTATCATTTTCCAAAGCCACCAAAATAACCGCTATTGTAGCCGCGAAGGTTAGCTTGAGTGCGGCCATAAGGCTGCGTGCTGCGGCAGATCAGGGAAATCAAATCGCGAAGCCTGGTGCTGGATAGCAATCCACCAACGGATTCCTGATATAGACTGAAGAGAATATTTGGGAGTGTTATGGATTACACTGTTTGAAGTGCTGTGTAGGAGAAAGATCATGAAATTTATTACACTGCGTCTCGGGTTGGCGACAAGGGATATCGGTGAGGCGTTACAAAGGAACAGAAAGGCGCAAAGTAGACCGACGAGTAGAAATGAGTTCATTTTTAGTGGTGGTGCTATGCTCAATGAATGTAACTGATTTTATACTAACGCTGCACGATTAGTTTGGCAAACGTAGCGTAAGAGCATAGCTTTGGCAAATTTCGCTCTACTAACGTTATTTTGCTCTGTAGACTGAAGAACTAGTAACCTAGTCACCAGCTAAGAACGAGTTGGTGCTGCTCTAAGGCGAACTAGAACCATATGTACTAACAGAAAACATCGAATGACTCATAAAGGATGTTTGCTGGTCGTTGCACGTTTAACGGTAACTTCGGATGTACGACGGAATTGGCAGCATGGACTAATAGCCTGCTGTCTTGATCAGTTCCACCTCCACACCTTACAATATTTCGAGCAAAAAAATCGCGATTGTTCTGATAATCTGCCAAAACACGCACTTCCTTGCAACTTAAAATTGTTAATATCGATTGCCTTTGATCATAATCCTTCTATTTTATAAAGCGCTAACTTTGTGTGTCGGTTTGTATGTATGTCTGTATGTATGTATGTATGTATGTGTGTCCGTCCGCAAAATGAAGTGAGTGAGAAGGAAGCTCATGGGATAAACAAACCGCTAACAAATCGGGTAGCTTACAGGATTTGAGATATCAATGTTTTGTAGGAGGATACAATACGGCTATATAAACACCTGCTGAGCACACAGTTCCGGTCATTCCGGAGGGCAGAGGAAGGTGGGAGGGAGGATGGGGAGGGGAGGTGTCAAATCAACCGTCATGCTATGATTATGGCGATGCTTCCACTACATGAAACTCCTTTGTTGCATACGCGTCACCTCCGCAAGGTGTTGGTGTCACAGGAGGAAGGGACCATAGCGGAGGACGAAAGCTTGCGCAGGAAAGGAAGGTCCCGGCGGTTGACGGGGGACTAATCTGGTTGTTTCATGAAAGATGTGGAGCATGACTTTGCTGACATCAAGAAGCACGTTCAGATACACCGGGTATCTTTTCTACACATTCTACCACTTCTCGTCACCTCTGTAAAGGTGAATAAATTCTGTAAGCCCTTTGCACAGAAGTATTCTTCGGGAGGCATAATACTCTCATAGAACCAAAGGCGTCACCTTTCCGCCTAAGTCGCCACACCTTTCTCATTGTTACCAAGAGGCGAGAGTAATTGCTTAGATTTCCTATCGAGGGTTCACAATAGGGAACACAATATACCGTGCTGATGCACAAGAACTCTTCAAGTGGCGATCTTCGCATTTGTGAGAATGTGACTTGGGAGAATCCATAAACAACTCTAAATAGTTGATTTGGCTGATTTTAAGCTTTGAGCTCGACGCTTTGACACAATAAGTTTACGACAAGGCGAGTGGTGGTGTTTTTGGCAATGTGGGAACGACGAAATTTTGCCCGCATTGGTCGCGGTACCCCCGCACGGTCCAACAAGGCCGTTTCTGGAAGTCGAACGTATAAACAACTTGAGAAAGCGATGACTAAGTAAGTTAGCCTACATGATAAAAGCACAAACAAAGTGGCTTTTCAACAGAAGTTTTGATTGAGTAAACGCCTTTTCTGGGGTGCAACATGGATGGAGATTGAAGAGCTTGTTGAAGAGTAGGTTACATGGGTTTCTTTTACTGAAACGGTTGGAACTTTTCACAATTTGACAACTTCACGTTTTGTTTTGGACAAACATTCAAATGTCATTCACAATTTTACCTCTTTCTTGAGAGTTAGTGTGAGATCGAGCTGAATTCAGAAGTTCATGAGGTTTGGAAAACCTATGCTTAACTGATGCATTCTGTGGACCAAAAGTATTATAGTTATATTAATACCTGATCAATAAAATGAAAGGAAAAAGCTTTGGAAAAGTCGAGCATTCGGCAAAAAAATATGAAGTTTGTGCTGGAGACATATATTCCACACGGTCCGCATGGCCTGCAGCGCTCGGAATATACAGGGGGGGGGGGGCAAAAAAAGAGTCACTTTGCCCATGGCGCATATCATCAAACTTTTCGTCGCAAAGGATGCCGCTGTTATTGGGAGTTATACGGCGAATATTCCTTAGATGTCCCCCATAAGCAGAATCAGGCCCACCTTCGCTGCCTTCACCGTCTCCAGAATATGACGTCATCTGTCATCACCGTCGAGCTCAAGGAGGCCTATAATCGCTCCATTCTGAAGCTGCTACATAATTTCTTCA